CGATAAAGCTTGCCAAAATGAAACCGTTTGTAAGGATGTTCTAGAGGATGATTTTTTTTTGAAAATGGAAACATTCTAAATGATCATTTTATGTAAAATCGGGCAAGGATTTCTTTGAAAACAGATTTGAGGTCGAATTGAACACGCCTTTCAAAGCTTCGCCTCTCTTCTTTACGTCTTAATTTTGTGCTCTTTTTTGTGCCATATGTTCTGTAAACTTCCTATGAGATTGTTTCTTGCCTCGAATCCTCGATTTCAGGGTTTCACAATGTTTTTTCACTTGTCAATGGAACATGAAGTATGTCTTCATCCCAAGTATTTTGGAGCAAATTTGAATGAAACTATCAAAATGAAGCTCTTTGCCGAAGTGGAAGGCACGTGTACCGGCAAATTCGGATTCGTCATCGCTGTGACAACAATCGATACAATAGGACATGGTCTTATTCAGCCTGGTTAGTGCTGTGCTTGCTATGATAATGGCTCTCACCAACCGCTTTAAATCGCTCGAATATTTTCAGGACGCGGATTTGTTATATATCCTGTTAAATATAAAGCGATAGTATTCCGACCATTCAAAGGGCAAGTTGTTGATGCAGTAGTCAATCAGGTAAGCCACCACATTTCAGCTATCACTTCCCTCCCAGATGTCAATTGCATAATCGTTGTTCAGCTTTTGAATTCCGTTATAGGTTAACAAAGTTGGTATATTTTGTGACATCGGTCCTCTGTCATGCTTCATATCGCGGCATTGCATTCCTCCAGACATGGAGTTTGATCCGAACTCAAACCCACCCTGTTATAAGACCGAGGACGAGACTTCAATAATAAAGCAGGACGATGAAATTCGGGTCAGTCCATCAGTTGGTCTTAAGACCTGGTTACGAAAATTTCACAGGTTCAACCTCTTTCCTCACTCCCTCGTTCCAAGATAAATAAAGTCTAACCCAGCCTGGCTGGCTATGGTTTGATGGTTAAGGGAGCAGCAGAAGAATTTTGCTTTAAAACCTAACGGGTTTTATTTCTTGATTTCTTCATTGATTAGCTTGTCTAAAATACTGCAAACACAATGGATGAATGATCAGCAGATGCTCAATCTTACCAGGCCATTAAGCGGATCTCCTATTCCTGCTATTTCTGAATCCTATAATCAGTATCCGACGCTCAAAGCATAAGTTTTAGGTGAAGCTTATTGGAACCCGAGTGGATGCTAACGATATATTCGCCATTGGCACGCTCATGGACGACTTTTTGGGCCTTTGTTCCACGGAATGATTTCTGTGATACTTCGTTGATTGTATTTACCTTTCACACATACTACGCCTTTGGGGTCTGGTGCACTGCATCGAGAAGATTTATTTGCCTAAATTAGGCCGGAAGAAATTAAAATGTAGTCTTCAGTTCCTCTTCCACCTGTATTGGTTTCAGGCTTGTTATTTTACATAATACGGAATTACCGACTCAGAACTTCAGTCTAAAGAATAATGATTCCTTCATTTCACATTTTGTAAATTTTATTTTAGTGTGTGATCTCAGTATTTGCTGATCAATGTCTTGTTGTTTCTACTGCGATAAAGCGTTGTTGGCAGACCATCTTGAGTTTTTCTAGTGTGGTCGCTGTCCTATCCCTACTTCCTATTTTTTGTCGGCTCTCTATATTCATTGTTCGCGAAGTTTTAAATTTAAAGATTTAGCAACAATGGGCCTTTTCGACCTAGCAATGTTTGATGAGTTGCGGAGGATGAACATCCGCCAACTGATCTACCAAGTGAGTGTATCAGTTTTTTTTTTATGTGAGCGCAGTTCTCATGCAATATTTGACTTAACTGCTAATTAATTAACCAATAGTTTTGAAATGGCATTCTTTGTAGTAATAATGGCAAATCCCTTTCATATGATAAATACTTTGGGAAAAAATCGCTCCAAATCACCTATTGGCTTCAGGGACTGAACTTCGCTATGGTGGTATCGTCAGCTCTGATGATTTGGAAAGGTTTGATGGTCATCACTGGATCGGAAAGCCCCATCGTTGTAGTTCTGTCAGGTCTCCCATTAATTTTATTTCCAGAGATATCTAAAATTAGCTATTGACTCTACTAAAGTTTTTTTTCCGAATGATTAATTCCAATTTTTTAGCTGAATACTGCTTCTCTTTGACGACTGCTTTTGCCAATCTTAACTTATGAATTGTTGCAGGCTCCATGGAGCCCGCCTTCTTCCGTGGTGATCTTCTTCTTCTGACCAATGATCATTCTGACCCAATTCGAGCTGGAGATATAACCGTTTTCAAAATTGATGGTCGAGACATACCAATTGTACATAGAGTAATAAAGGTGAGCATCTGGCTGTACCCATTTGCTTTATTTAATAAACCTGCTTTCAAAATATTTTTTATAGGTTCATGAAAAAACACCGCTGGACACTAAATTTCTTACAAAAGGAGACAACAACCAGGTAAGCTGATACAGTATGCTTGTCCTTTGAGTTATCATTTTCATCGAATCAATATTAAAGAAATGCTGAAAGACGGTGCTGTTCCTTTTTAGTTTTTGCATGCATAATCAAACAGGGGAATACATGATGCTTCCTTACGGCTTATGCAACTAAAGCGCAGTGATTCATTCAAGTTTTGAAATCGGATTGTAACTGGGTCTCTATCAAAATCTACAAAATCTGTTATTGGTTGGCATCTTAGCTTTTGCGATTTCCCCTTCGACAGAGACTTGCCACTTAACAGGAGAGCAAATTCTATTCAGAACAGTTATTGTACCATCTTGTTGTCTCAAAAAGTATTTCTACCCGACTCTTTCATTCCTATGTTTCGGTAGACGTAGTTCAACACACCTACAGGAAAACTTATTGTCGGGGGGTATAAGAGCAGGCAATCAATGCTGCTGTCAACGCATCGAGGAAGCAGTTACAGAAAAAGCATGGCAGAATCTCCTCATTCGTCCCTCAAGTTTAGAATTCCCTGTCCTCGTTTGTGGCGACTTTGTTATAATGTTTCTCGAAATTAGAGCAAAAAAACCTTTGCTTTAAACTTCGTGAGATGAGTCCGATATTAATGAAGAGTTCAAGAATATTGGATTATAGATGGTCGCTTGCCATAAGAATCCTAACTGCACAGTTCGGAGTTGCGGTTGGCCAACATGAACGCTAATATAGGTTGGCCTCTAATGAAAAAGTACTAAGTTCCTCATGAAATCTGTGGACGAAATGTTAAGCGCCCCTTGATCTGTGAACATTCTTTGTGCAGCTCGACGTGGAGGAGGCGACGTGACTTTCTTCTTGATTAGAATCATGTGACGCGTTTATCACAAAATAGACGCCTGTTTCCACTGCTTTTAATTCTGCTTTTGAGGAATTGGTAGCATAGTGACCTCAAGGGCTAGTTATAATACCGCGTCATATATGCATTTTGTATAGAATTCGACATTTTCTATACGTAACTGTCGCTAGAGCTAAGGCAGTTGGCGGCCAGTGGAATAATTCGTTTATCAGTCTTTTCGGACAGGCTGTGCAATCCACATCGATTCAGATAGTTGAGTCATTTAATGGCTAATTCGGCCCGTGCACTGGCCTCTATGGAAAGCTTGATTTTACCCTTCATAAGTGCATTATGCGTTCAACTCGGGAAGGCGAGTGGCTTCGTTTGTTTGGACGAAAATCGATTTCACCATTTTATCCCAGTGCCACGATTCCGGCTTTTTCCCCTATCTCATCTCCATTTTCACGACTATAGTAGTATTGATTGGTTGCCCTTTGTTTAATAGGGGGTTAATTGAGGTGAAAGCTGATAACCAAGTGACTTTTTGATAAACAAAATAGTACTTGTTCAGGTTGATGATCGCGGTCTTTATGCACCCGGGCAGATGTGGCTGCATCGTGACGATGTAGTTGGTCGAACGAAGGGCATGCTTCCATACGTTGGCATGGTAACCATTTTAATGAACGACTATCCAAAGTTAAAATACGCTGTGTTGGGTCTTCTTGGATTATTTGTTATTATTCATCGTGAGCAGTAGTCATTTTGATTTACTTGTTTTTGTTGGTGCATATTATAATACAATTGTTTGGGCTTGTACACAATTGAATTCTTGAACAACTAATTGACAATATTGGGTTTAATATTTATTTATCGATACCCTAGCGGTTTTTGACAAAGCAAAAAACAAGTTTGATTGAACGATGGGGTGATGATTAAAGATAGGCACGAGTTCTACTATACTATAGAAATATTATATGTACATCACATATCGCGGTGAACCCAAATTCAGTATACGAAAGAAGATAATCAAATGTCAATTTCTGTAGCATCCAACCATAATGATTTGCCTTATAAGATGCAACAAGCGACCAGAATTTGAACGAGCGCAAAACGAAACAAGGAATTAAGGACATGTTAGCAACACAGCAAAATATAATACAGATTTTTCAGTCCAATTCAGGTTCGATTAGGTCATGTTTCGCTTCCAAACTCTGAAAAGGGAAGTCATTTCTAAGGAGAAGCTGAAAAGCGATTGAAATTGGTAAATATGTGAGTATGACTGGCGCATCCCAAACTGCTAGCTAGCTAGAAGGAACCTTCAAACCTTCAGAAACCTCACTGTTTGTTATTGATCAACACCATGATTTTTTGACTACTGCTGATTATACCCCATAGCTCTGCCGAAAATTTAGTGAGCGCTTGTCTTACCCACTGACTTTGAAACGTAGCGAGTACAAACCGATACTGTTGGGGCTCCAGGAGCAGGTTCAGGAAAAGACGAAGCGACCACTTCTTGTCTACAAATTGGACAGGACGGACGTTGCTGAAGCCACGGAACAACACACTGTGTATGGAATATGTGATGACATAGCAGTTCCACAACTAGTTCTCCTGAAATACTATCAATTTTGAATTATAAAGTACACTGACGCTTCATTTTCTTCCCTACGCCCTCCCATTACGGGTGTGTTGCGATTCGTGCGATACTGGGTGCGCGCGACAAAGTGCGCGGCGAAATTCGGTGCATTTTGGACGACTGCAGCGTTCATCATTGGGGCACAAATTTGAAGTAAAGTATGTTAGTAGGATTGTCCGACCCTACTTAAGTACTCTACTTCAAGTTTGTTCCCCAATGATAGTCGCCAGAGTTGTTTGAATCATCGCGAACTTCGCCTTGCAATTTGCCGCGCGCACCCAGAATCGCACGAATCGCACGTCCCCCTCCCACTACTGTTCATAAACCGCATTTTTGACGCTCTCGACACAGCTTCGCTTCGCTGCTCAACCCTTTTATTTTATAACTTCTTGGCGCCGCTTCAGTGCCATTTGTTCTCAAGAGTTATACTCCGGAGATTGTTCTCCATAAGTATTTCCTACTTTCGAACTCATGACTCCAGCCACCTTCCCAGCTTATCTGATTCAAGTACAAAAGAACACTCACCGAGTTTGAAGTCTTCAAAACAAGTAGTGCACTGAGTGTCCTTTTTCACATGCTGTTCCGAAACCTACAATAGAAAGTCATACGGATCCTTCGCCAGAAAACTTAGAAACCGAAATTCCTAACAATGTTGGCTACCTTGATTATAGGTAATCTGTTGATTTGCTGTTCTGTCAGTCCAACCGGCCTAACTGTGCCATCCATCTGATTCAGTAATTGCGTCACAATGCGATCCATGCCATTTTCACCCCAAACATAGTCGCCGAATGGACCATGCATCGTTCCGCTTGAACAGAAATATGTCTTCAAGATATCTAAGAATCTTTTTATGGAAAAGCAACGTACTCTCTGTCTTCACCAATGTGAATGCGTACTTGCATATGCGGGTCTCCCAAACTGGACAATACCTGTCCCAGAATTGGGTGCATTTGCATGGCCTGGTCAAGGGAGAAAGTCTAAGAGAGAATATATACGATACAAATCACATTTTGAACAGGAAAAACATACAATTGCTTGTGGCCCCTGAGCACGGCCATTCGATGGAGTATTGCTACCGCTACCACCTCTACTTTGAGATGATGGTGGTTGATTGGGCAGTGAATTGAACATTCCCATAAGAGACTGGAAGAAGTTCTGAAAATATACTCTGTCATGAAAGTAAAAAGCACAGAACTCCTCAAACAAAGAATCCGAATCCATGTGAGGCCATGTTATAACACAATTAGAAACCTCTGGTCCGTTCTGACTAGATCCTTGTGGCGGTTGTGTTGGAGGATGATGATGATGATGAAAATGCACCCCTCTTCCGGGAGGTTGACGATATTGTGAAAATGGAGCATGAGTAATAACACGCGGAGGTGGAGTTATCTGCTCAAGAAATTCTCCTCCACACACACCACAGATCATATCCTTAAAATCCCAGTCTCATATAATCTTCAATGCAAAATTTCAGGAAATCAAAAATATTACATAAATTTAAACTCACGGTGTTTCTTAGAGGAACTTGGTTGCGGCATTGATGGCAATAATATACTGAGGACATTATAAAGTCACCAGTATGGACCTAAGTCGCTGAAAGTAAAGTAAGGTTTGCGTGAAATGTAAATGGAGTTTCAAGACATATTACGATAAGGCCTGGTGTCAACCAAGGCTAATTACTAGCAAAAAAANAAAAAAAAGGATGTAACAATTTCAATTCAAAAACAAAACGGTAACAATATAAAAACAAGACAATAACAATAAAACGAAACAACTGAGAATTATTTCTAGTCTCCAGTTCATTTCCTCCGACCACCCGCTCGCGCTTCATTGGGGTTTCGCCTCTGTCTGTGCTTATTGTTCATAGTCCGTACGCCAAGCATCGCTGACCTAGAGTACCAAACGTATGTAAAAAAGAAAACTAAATCGATTGATAAGAGGCGTACCGGGAAGTGACGTCATGTATTGAAAAAGGACCATCCTCGAGCGGATCAGCACGCACCTTTGCCATGCGATTTTGCGGCATTGGCTGATCTTCGAACAATTTTTCCATTACCTGAGATAATATCTCGTTATTGGCCCTAGATTCCGAAATTCCAGCAGAATTGTAAAAGTCCTATTCATTCATTCAGTCAAAAACCAACTGATCACTCACCGCATGTTTCCCTCCTTTCGGAGCTGGCAGGGAATGCTTCAGACCTCGTTTATTTGCAAGCCTTTCCCAGTTTATATGCAGCACTTGCTCTCCGTTTTCATCAACAGAAACAGCGACCTTCAAAAATGTTGCCGGTAAGAACGAACAAAGAAACCGTAGTGAACCTTACCTTATGCAACATTTTATTTCCACAGGCAGGACAGAACTCCTTCGTCATTATCGGTGTAGTTTTGAAACAAGCCCGGCAACGCAATATGAATGTCTTCAGTTTTTTTATCCGATACCCATTCAAAGACACCAGACCGAGGTGCATGCTTAGTAGAACGTTTTGTAAAGCAAAATCCGTCGTCAAGCATCCCACAGTTAGACCTTCCTCAACCTGAGGATGCCCTTTTTAAAAGTGAGACATCGAGGTGTCGGCAAAATTTTATGACTTACTCATTTGGAACCGTAGCCAAAGATTACCTCCAGAGCACCCATCTTCCTGAGTGCCTTGCTGAGGTTATCCTCTGTTATCCAACCTTCTTCATCGTCACTACACACACTATCGCAAAAACCTTCTGGTAAGGTATTCAGTGATGGTTCGACTTTCATTTCCTTCTCTGAATCACTTGCAGACGAGGTCTTCCCGGCCGTACTAGCGTTAATCTCATTCATAACGTCTGACATGGAAGCTTCTTCGTCAGGAACCTGTAAACCTGCTTTTTTATTCATTTTATAGAAAGGAATGAAATGAATACCAACCGTCTCGGTCTTACGGCAGTATTCACTGTGAATGTCGTAAGTTAGGGCAATTACTTTAATGTCAGCCAGAGAAAGCGATACAAAATCGCCAGTTTTTTTGGAAGCATCAACAACTGAAAATAATTTGATAAGTATAAAATTTCTTCATCTTCTCCCTTTCCTTTCTAACAGACGGTACATAGTAATTCTCCCCTCTTCCTGACTTTTTTACACACGAGTATACGGTTGACAGCGTGCAACGAATCCACAATATGAGTCAAGTTAGAATTGATTGATACCTACAGAGATAGTGTAGTGCACAAACTAGTTTTGAGGGAATTTCCATGAAAGGAATGCTCGCAAAGCTACCATCACACGTATTTATTTCGATAAAATCGCATCAAACCTGTTTACACACTAATCTTTGGGCCTTACTCCATCAATCAAGTTGATTTAAGAGCAGGTGAATTTTTGATTAATCCAGTTAACTGGATTGTACAACTACAGAAGTGGGAAGTAGAACAATGCATGCACCGGATATTTGGACAAAGACATCGGCTTAACTACTGTGTGCACATTATAGTTGGCCTTCCATGACAATGGAAACGATTTTGTTTATGGCGACTTACCTTTCCTCAATGCGATGGCAGATGGTTCTCGAATGAGGACTTCAAAAGGGAGCATATCGAATGTGATTTTGGAACGGCGAGATCGTAATTCATCGACAACTTCGGGAGGTGCATAGTAATTCTCTGCAAGTTCCTGAAAGTATAAACGTGAATACACTACGTACACTTTAGTTGAAAACTATAAGAAAAATAAAACAGTGAATAAACGGAAACCAAGAGTTTTCTCCCAGTTCGAAAAGAAATTGAAAAACTGTTCTAGAATTTTCGCTGCTTCTTTCTTCGAAACTTAAAAAAGCTTATTGCTCACAATGAGTCACGAGTTGGCAAAGTACAACCAAGCACAAGTGCATCACCAAATCAGATGATGAAATAACCAGAATTGGCCAGGAAATATGGGATTGATAAGAAAAGTTTAGTAAGAACGCCGAGGTTAAGAGTAAATTGAAAAAAAAGAAGGGTAGAAATAAAGGTTATGAAGAATTTTGTTCTACTTGGTTATCACTGACGACTTACATGAAGATTAACATTCGCAATCACCGCTCCAGTGTCTAGAATTAAATGCTTCACGGGCTTTTCGCTTTTTTTCGGCGCTCCTTTCAACGATTCCGTCATTCGGTGAGTTCCAATGTGGTAATCTGGAAAAGGTTTCTAAAAAGAAGCTTTGGCCGAAGCCGTGAAATGACAAAAAAGAATTTTCGAAAAACTCGGGTAGAACCAAGACCAGGCCCGACAATTAAACGTCAAAGTATTGCACGGAGTAGAACAGTACTGCAGCAGTAGCTCGCCAGACTCATGTTCCGGAACTCACGGGATTGTAGGCGGAGCCTGTTCGCAGAAGGTGCACGGTCTACTCGGACGAGTTTTTTGCACTTTGGGAGAAAGTGGGTCGCTTTGTTGTTTTGTCGCGGAACCGGGATGGGATTGTTGCTTTTCTTGATTTTATTGAATTTGTTGGTCAAAGAAGTATAAATGCGCACGACGCGACGAAAATGAGCCGCAGCAACGTGAGAGCAACTGGTAAATATTGTCTGGCTCTCTGCCCACGGGTTGAAGTGCAGACGACAGAGTAAGCGGCGATGTGGCGCTCTCGATGTGGGCTTCCAGCTGTTGTTGAAATGAATCATACTGGTAAAGCGAATAGCTACGATTACTGGGAACTGGGAGGAAACGTGCGGAACACTACTTCATTCAAGTCGGTAATAGGATTATACTTATCTATAGCTGTGAGCCTTTAGGAAGTCCCGAAGAAGTCCTGAGCGAAGAAGCTTTCCCAGACCCACTACACGCTGAAGAATGTGAGATTTTGAAGATAACAAAAAATCTGCAGCACAGCACAGCAAGACTTACCTCATACCTTATATGTGAAACTACCCACGCTACCGTTTACACGATGACAAATTGATGGTTTTGATCAATAATTGATGAGGATGGTAGTGGGTTTTAATCAGGGGACCTTTTTGTGCTAACAAAAATTAGTTCTTTCATATAATACCGATCGGAATCTCTGAGTCGACATATGTTTCATCCTATACCCTTTTCGATAAATCTGCTAACCAGGTGTGGTAGCCTATCCGAAAATCGCGCCGCGCTCGCCGCTCCCGATTGCGCGCAGTCGTGCGCTATGAAAGGGGAAGAGAGAAGATATGAATTCCCGGTGGAAGGATATGGTAGCCGCCACAGAACTACTGCCGCTTGCCGTAGAATTCGGGGAGATGCACCGCCACCCGAGTCAACACACCTTGGTGCACGTTCCGTCTGTTATCGCCATTCGAGTTTCCTCCATCTCTTAGTCTCTATCCAACCTTTTACGGACTCTGGAAGGTCGTCGACTAGTTCGAACAGTTTTATGAATATTTGATCTTACAATCAGTTTCTTCCCTCGACGCACTTTCAATCGGACTCCCTTTCTTCTATAGCTTTTACCTATTTTTTCGGAGTCTGGAACGTTTTTCGAGCAAAGTTATAAATTGAGATGAACCTCCTTATCGGGTTTGCACCACGGCAATCGTTGGCGAAGTTACGCTGAGCTTACACGAGCTCCATTCAGTCGGTATGTCTGTCCTTCGCAAACCGTATAAGCGACCTCATAGTTTATACTCAGGCGTACGAATCGTACGAGCAATATTCGTGTGGCCATGTTTTCCAACACAGAACCAGCCTCCAGGGCATTCGACAACTGCCATTGAGACAACCAATAGTTTTTCCTCATGACTGCCTTGAATAAACACATTTGCGGCTACCATTCCGGATGTACTTTCGCGAATAGAATTTTCTTAACAACAGAACATATGAGACCCCTTCGTGTACCCACGTCCACCTGGGAAAGTATCGATGAAACACCAGAGCTTTTTAGGATTCGTATTCAAATGGGATCTTGACGGCCTTCGTAGACTATTTATTGTTAGTATGTAGTCTGTTTGTATTAGTCGCAGTCTGCTAGAGAGGAGCAAACAACAGGAAGCTAGTCATGGTATAAGTTGAGCGGTGTTTTTCAGTTTTGTTTTTTCACTGTGCAATTTCAGTGTTTCTGCTTCCCAGGAAAGTCTGTTCCCAATTAAAGGCACAGCTCACGATGGGAAGGGTTTCTGATATTCCTCCACAGTATAAACATGTAACTCTCAAGAATAACACAAGGGCTATGTCGGGTCAAAAAAAGTCCGTTTAGGGCTTAATAATGGCTTCGAAACTGGCTTACCTGACGTACGGGTCCAAAGTCGGACGAGTTCTCGGCGTTATAGAACCTGTAGAGGTCGTGCCATACGTATTGGGACGCACACGCTGCACGCAGACAGCTTACTGTAGCCAACTGTACGCAACGGCATACTCATGTGGACAGCTCGTTCGAATACCCATTTCATGCAGCCTTTGTCGCCACATTGTCGTTCATTTGACGACTGTTCGAAGATTTTCATTTGCCTAAATACAGTGATTTTTGTGACCTATCCTGGACTATCACTTCCATTGTTCGTCTAAATTTAGATACTTTAAAATTATCGTGAACTTTACCTTTGCCAGAGCCTCGCGGGCTGGAAGGTCGATTGGCGTGGACGAGTATCGAGGCACATTTCACTTTGAAAAGTGTTACTGAGATTTCTTTCTGTCACAAACTGGGTCTGCGACC